GGGGCACTCCATTTCAAGATGTCGGAATAAAGAAGCCAGCAGGGTATGTACTTTGTCCTACCACTTCTAAAATAGCCTCAGGATGGCCTGTAGCCTTTGTCACAGGTTATTCAGTGGGCAAGCAGCCCAGGGCGTGGCTGCACAGAGCCTTGGGCCGGAGTTCAGGAACTAGTATCTGCACCCTTTCGGAGAAATGCCAACGTGGCCAGAGTTTCTGAGAGCCTGACTCCCACAGGAGGAGGGAGGACTTGGATACCCAAAGAAAAGCTTCTAGATTTTATTGAACCAAAGGAACTGCCTGCCTTCGGTGACGCTGTTGTTGGCCAGAAGTCACAGCAGGGCTCTAGTTCTCACTGACCCTTTTATAAGATTGTTTCTGGGACAGCAGTGGCCAGTAGGACCAGCACACCATTTTGTAGCGGACAGACTGCTTAGAAATGCCACCTCCATTCTATTCCCTACCACCTGGTCACCAATGGCCACTCAAGAAGGGAGACAGGCACAGGCCATGGGCACTGGGGCCCTTGGCCAAGGGATGGTCATTCTAGCCTGATAGGGAGGGAGGATTGTCAGTAGTAGAAAGAAAAAGGAAATGTGGACTCTTGCTCTGGTTTTACCATTCTAGTTAAAGTTCATCGGTGATGGTGTAAAAGTGGAAAAAAGGGACATGGAGGACGACACTCACTGTACTCGCCTTTCAGAAGGGATGCTGCCAGAAATTGGGGTCAGAAGTCTTTTCAGTTTTTTGACACACAGAGAAAATGAGGACAGGAAAAAGGGAAGGACAGGGGCTTGAGAGTACGAAGTGTCCCAGTTTGGTGAGCACCGTGTCCAGCTCCCCTATTTTTCCTCCTGAAAGGCTGATCTGGTTCTGCTGCTGGGGTTTGGGCCTGGGAGTCAGTTCGTTTTCTGGCCAGCCTAGAAGTTGTTTGTTCCATGGCTGCGTAGATGAATTATGCTTATATGCAGACATTGTCACCTCAGGTCCATTGCACTGTGGGCCGGACCCCCCAGTGTGGCCCTGTTAAAACCGTGGCCTCCCTGTGTTCTTTCAAAATATGACACCACTGTTGCATGATACGGCCCAAGCCTCTAGGTGTGGGGTACTCAAGGATGGGTAATTGTCCTTGTCCTTACTGGCAGGGTTGTCATCTCTGTGGGTAAAAGCAAATACAACATCTGGGTTTGGGGCTTACCTGGTTTTCTTTAGTATCATAGGGAGATAGTGGGAGATTTAGAAAAAAAAAAAATGAGGGGAGTAGATCCACCAGGGCTCTGGGCATTTTCTCAGTGAACTTTTTCTTTTGGCTCCAGTGAGAATATTTGTCTCTTACTTAAGAAAAGAGAATGGAGTATACCTAGTTTAAAGAATAAACCCAAACCTTCCCTATTGCCTCTCCGTGCTCATCGAGCCTTTTCTCACCCAGGCCTTACTCACCCGGCCCTCAGCCTATATCCATTACACTCAGTTTGAGCTGCTTATCCAGGAGAGAGGAATCCAGGCGACCATGAGGATGGCCCATCAGGGACACCAATACCCCACTCACCCAGCCTCTCCTAAAGAGATCATGAGCCGAGGGCACATGACCAGGGAAACTCCCAGCTGCTTCTGCCCTTAAATAAGACAACAGGGAAGTAGTTTCTATACTCAAGAAGAGAGAAATCTTTTCATTCTAGGGCTGTAAGGATTATGAGCCGATGAAGCTATGGCTCTGGTAGCTGGACCATTTTGGGAAACAAGATGCAAGCAAGAGAGTAATATACAAAGTGTGGGTATATTTGGCAGGTTTGAGGCAAGCAGAAAGGAGGGTTTGGGTATGCTATAAAAAAACATCAAAAGATCTAAAATTCAAACTTCTGATAAGGCCACGATGAAGAGATTTCCCGCAGTGGATGTTGTAGGAAGCCAGCACCCAAATCTCCACAGGCTCGCAAGGTGGTTGCCCAGGTGAGGAGGCAGGGGAGACAGGGCATTGCTTCTCACAGGTCCATGTCTGGGCCTCCTGAGGATGTCTTCAGTGGCACTGAGTCAAATCCATCAGGAGTCCTCTGAAAGAGAGATGGTGACAGGAGCTGGCTGCTGCACAGGGACATGTTTGGGGAACAAAGGAGAGAAATGGAAAATAGGTGACAGAAGGAACCCTTATGGAATTCCTGCATGCAGTGGCTTTGTGGAAACACAGATGTAAGGCACTTTCTATTCTTGCTCCCTTCAGGCAGCCGGAGGATAAGAAACATCTTTAAAACCCTCTGCTTTGCATCTTTGCCGAGGTTTCAGAAAGACTAAAGGATCCCAAGGTAAACTGTTCTCCCACCAATAAAATAAAATAAAAAATCAAGGTCTATGGAGGCCAAGGGAGTCACCCTGTTAAGTGACTCCTTTCTTTCCTCACCATCCCTCCTGTCCTCTACTCCTGTCTTACCACCCTCCCTGCCCACACCTGTTTGGATGAGTTGGTTCAGGGCACCAGTGAAGTGCTGGCCGAGTGGGGCTGCAGAGGGCTGTGGCCCTGGAGGATTTGCTTGGGTGCTGTCTGCTGGCCCCACGCCCAGCAACAGTGCCGTCTGTCTTACATTTATGAGCTTCAGACTCACCCACCGACCCACGCAAAGCTGTGACTCAACCCCCAAGGGACCAGGGCCAAACATCTGGGGGACAGCACCCTCCACTGGCCAAAGGAGAGCCTCCCTTCTATCAGAAGTTGATCCTAGAGATCACCTCTTCCCCTCCTTCCAAAAGAAAAGAAAGGGGGGGGGGGAATGACTCTTACAACATGGATGGTGCATCTACTCCTGGAAGTTAAAAGGCCCAAACAGTTCACCAGCTGGAGCTGAGGGAGAAGGAGCCTGGCCTAGAGCAGCCTTGGGCCCCAGGGCAAAGAGTATTGGTGTGAAAACAAAGAAGGCAGAAGCTAGGGTTTTCAGGGTGGGGGTGGGGGGATAGAATAGTGTGGCAGGTACAAAGCAAAGCAGCGGCCCCCCAAACAACATGGGGCATTCAGCATCCTAGGTCTGGTGCCTTCTCCAGCCGTCCAGGCTGACCTCGGCGCATTGGCCAGGCCCCCTACCTTGGAGGTAAATGATTTGATCTTCCCGAAGAGGGACTTCTTGCTGGTGTAGAGGTCCTCATCCTCCGCGTCCTCGCCTTCCATGATGGCGCAGCTGTCGGCCGCGGGCAGGTCGTAGTCCTTGAGGGAGGCGTTCATCACCAGCTTGGAGTACTTGTACTCTAGCCTGTGAAACGGGGACATGGAATAAGCGGAAAGAGGAGAGGAGGCGGGCTACCCGCAGATGTCCCCATTCTGCGGGTCAGGAGGCTCAAGCCTAGCAAAGTGGTGTGAGGCTGGGCCTATAGCTGAGCAGTCTTGGCTCCCATGTCAGTGATCTTTTTTCCCCTCGAGGCTGGCCGTTTCTCTGATCTAAAAGCTTAGTAGAAATACTGGAATCATAAAGGCATTTTTATTATTATTAGCAACAACAAATTAAGGATACTCTTTGCTTTCCTTTTGAGCATCCAACAGCCATAATTCATTTATAGACCACTTGGTGGTACTGATCCCCGCTCAGGAGTCCGTACAACCAAGGCACACACTGGACAAGGGGCTCGGCAAGTCTCTGGCCAGGGTCACAGGGTCTGCGGCCAACTCCAGAAAGAAAGCTCATGAATTCATCCTCTCCGATGCTCTCCTCCCATCGACCCTGTCCCTCCCCAAACCCTAATACCCCGCCATCAAGTACTTTTGATTCTTTTTCCAAAAGTAGCAGGTCAAGACTGTGAGCAGGATGGCAGTACAGGTCCCCGCAGAGATGCCCACTTTCAGCCAGAAATCCAGTGTTTTGCAGATGGCGATTCTCTGCTCAGGCAGGGAGATGCCACCCACGCATAGCTTTGGTTCTCGCCACACGTAGGTAGTCTTCTGTTGGGTAGAAAAACAAACAGCTCACATATCACATTCCCTCCTCTCCTGGGAGGTCTCCAAGCAGAAAAACCTACCTGGATCCCAGCCACACAGCTGCTGACAATGGCATGATAATCAGCGGCCGAGCAGAGTGGACAAGCCGCCATGCTCTCCCACAGAAAGTGGAAGGTGCAGCCGTCGCAGGTCCCATCNGATGGCATGATAGTCAGCAGCCGAGCAGAGTGGACAAGC